CATCATATCCTACGATCTCTTCCATTGGTTTGCAACGTGAGGTTTCATACACGGCCTACGTGTCATCCTGGAGCGACCACCCCTACGGAAGGTCTGTTGTTTGCTTGGGGACAAGCAAAAAGCTAAGTTTGGGGGTGTGATTTCTCTTGTTTACAAGGGTAAAAAGGACTAGTTAGTTTCTGTTTTCTACTGTTTTAAACTAAGAAACCATTTTTTAAGCTTAGTTTAGTGTCCAAAACCTTTCATTTGGAGTTTTCTTAGGTTATATATGCATATAGGACATTTTTAATCATTTAGAGTTGATTTCTAACGAAAATTACAATTTTATGCAGAAAAAATCTAAGCTAGACGCCTTGTCGAATTCCGAGAATGACCTTAATGTAAAACACAAGTTTTTGTGTATTTTGAAGCTTCCCCAAGCCCCTCCACGTGTCTTCCATGCATTGATGTTTGCCAATTCAACAACAAACCAACAAAAAATGTTGTAAAGGGATGGCTCTCCATGAAAGTCTCAACCTCCTAACTGACTTGAAGCTCCCTATAAATACAACATCTCCCTCTCTTCATTCATTATCTTCAAGTGATCATTTCACCTTTAGACACTTTACTCTCAGCTTTATTACATTTTCCTTTTAAAGTTTTGAGTTGTTATGTTCAAACTTTGCTTATTTCAAGTTCATCATTTATTTTCCAGCTTGTTATTCTTGAATTGTAAGTTTGATCTTATTCAATTAAAATTCCAGCAAATTCTTTGATATTCATCTCTCTCTCTCTCTCTCTCATTACAAAGTTGTAGTCACACAAACTTGTGGAATCGACCGAGTATTGCTCCCCAATCTTGAAAGAGAACGGGTTAGGGTCATTCGAGTTACAACTCCACCATTTTCAGCTTATTTTAATTATATTCATCTTTTAATCACGTCGTCTACTTCCATCAAGATTAAATTATATTTTTTCTTTATTGTAATGAGGTAAATTTATTTTTCCCAAGCTTGGTTATGGATAGTTAGCTAAAGTTTATTAAAATCCAACAAGGCAAAAGGCGTTTTTCTCTTCTTTTATCACTTAAGGTTGTTTTCATAAGTTAAAACTTGATTTGGCCAATAAATGTTTTAACCAAGCATCGATACTGAAAGGGTTGATACATTTTCACAACTTCAATTATTTAACTTTGGAGAGAAATACTTTAGACATAAAGATTTCGCTCGGGTAGCCTAGACATAGGACCTCGACCTAAGGTTCCGATTGGCTTTTATTAAATTAAGATATTTTTTCTAATAGACATGTTAGGAATGGACTTATTGTTCGGTTTTATGCCCTAAACTCGTGGTTTGTAAACATAAAACAAATATTCATTCAATAAAGTTGTTATTAATAGAATTGAATTAACTCAAATCCAATAAACTACATCCGAGGTTATGTCATGTAACTGGAACAGTATATAACTGATATATAGTATATATTTAATATACACCGTATATATTTGATATACAGTGTACATATATACAGTATATATTCGATATACAGGTGGATAATATTCCAGTAGTAACCTAAAGGGTCTATAGTATATGGATAAGGTTGGGTACCTTATCCTGGTAACACTATGGATACGACCCACTTTGTAATAGTTACAAATGACTTGATCCAGGTCGTTCGTGTGGAGACATGTGAGTGGGGGTATCCTATACAATGAGTTTGTATAAGATTGGACCGCGAAATAATTAATCTATAGTTGTAACACCGTTAGCTAATAGATTAATATTTGAATAGGATGACCAGGTAACTCGATCTCAATCATGAGTGACTTATGGACTCCTGCCTGTTAGGGCTCGTCCTTTGATTTGTATGGGTGAGAGTGGCCCGAGTCGCCGACTCAATATGCCTACCATTTTGAGGACGAGATCGAGTGGGGAGCTGGGAACATAACTACACAAGATGTAATTCACTCCTTCCCGTCTTCAGGTAAGTAGATTAGTGTTCTCTTAAGTGCTGACTCCGGGACGAACACGGGGCCCCACCCTCTCACTGGCTCGAGAGGGACTTCCGGCTATTGGTTGGACCATAACCGGGTTGTTCATTAGAGGATCAGCGGTACTTAAGGTACAAGATGTAACACAGGGGTAAAACCGTAATTTGACCCAACTGTGGTTACGGACACTATGAAGGATTGACTTACCATTAATGGTCAAAATCCATGGATGCAAAATATTCTATAGTGAGAATAGTGCAACTGTAGGTCTTTAGTCGATTGACCGACAGTTAACAAATGTTGATTAATATGGTTAATGAGTTTAATCAATTAATCTCGTATCGTTGGTGTTGGATGTGTTGCCCTAAACTCGTAGTTTGTATTTATGTAAAAACAAATGTATATTCAATAAAGTTTTATTAAATAAATTTGTTGTTGAATTCATAGCATTGCATTGTCCAAAATTCAAKAAACTAAACATCCAAAGTTATTATCATGTAACCGGGACAATATATATATTGGGTATATATTTGATATACCCCTGATATACTAGGTATATATTTGATATACCCCTGATATACGAGTGGATAATGTCCCCTGAATAACCTAATGGGTCTATAGTATATGGATAAGGCTGGGTACCTTATCCTGACAACACTATGGATACGGCCCACTTTGTAAATGTTACAGACGACTCAATCCAAGTCTTTCGTGTGGAGACATGCGAGTGGGGGTATCCTATAGAATGAGTTTGTATAAGACCGGATCACGAAATAACAAATCTTTAGATGTAACGCCATTGACTAACAGATTGCTGTTTCATAGGATGACCAAACAACTCATTCCCGATCCTTAGTGAGTTATGGACTCCTGCCTGTAAGGACTCGTTCTTTGATCTGTATGGGTGAGAGTGGCCCGTGTCGCCGACTCAATATTCATACCATTTTAGGGACGAGACCGATTGGGAAGCTGGGAACATAACTTCACAAGATGGAATTCACTCCTCCGACTTTAATGAGTAGATGAGTGTTCTCTTAAATGCTGACTTCGAGACTTGAATAAGGGGCCCTACCCTCTCACTTGCCCGAGAGGGACTTCCGATTACTGGTCGGACCATAATCAGGTTGTTCATTAGAGGAGGCGTGGTATTTAATGAGTAAGATATAACTCAGGGGTAAAACAGTAATTTAACTCACCTTGACTTACGAACACTCGTGAAAGATTGACTTGTAATTAATGGTCGTATATCAATGGACACGAAAACATTCTGCAGTGAGAAGAGTACAACTGCGGGTTTTTAGTGGAGTGACCCATAGTTAACGAATGTTGATTAACTCGGTCAATGAGTTTGACCGAGTAATCTCGCATCGTTGGAGCTTCTGATCTGTAGGTCCATTAGGTCCCCTTGCTAGCTCATAACGGGTAAAATGAGGATAAATTCTTTGGAAAATTTTTAAATGTTCAAATTGCTCAAGAGATTATATGTATATTGATACATTATAATACATAGTTAATTCTAATTGAAACTATATATTATGAGAGACATTATTTGAATAAGATTCAAATAAAAATTAATATGAATAGGATTCATATTAAAACTATAGGTTAAAAGTAATGTGCATAAGATGTCATTATGACTATAGGTTATACGAGAAAAGTGCTATAAAATATGATTCTATTTTTGTAATAAATAATTAAGTGTTAATTATTTATTTGATTTATATATATATATGTATATATATATATATATATTTATATTAATTAATTGTTAATTAGATTAATAATTAATTAATAGGATTAATTAATTATTTATATATATATATATTAATTAATATTAATATTAATTAAATTAAATTAAAAAAAAGCCAAAAAGAAAAACTACCTCTCCCCTCAAATACGTAGTGGAGTGGTGATGTGGGTAGTTATCACACATCAACTCGTTGGGTTTTTCTTAAGTGTTCTTTTTATGAAGTTTCCCCCGCATATCTCTCAAGTAGTGTACTCTCTCAATCTCCCTTGCAACTTAGTTTCAAAATTGAACACTCCCACAAGCAAGATCTCGAGACCCAAGAGGATAACATAGAATACTCTTTTGGTGGTGTTTGGGTGGTGATTAACTTGAAGAACGGTTCTTCAAAGCTAAATAAACAACATTTCCCCTGTATTTTCATCTTTGCACTTGTTTGATTTTGTTTCTCAAAAAATTCATGAACGATGATGATCTGCTTCCGCTCCGGGATTCACATCCCATCAGTTGGAGCTTCCGATCTGTACGTCCATTAGGTTTTCTTGCTAGCTTGTAAAGGATAATTAAGAACATTTAGTCTTTAAAAGAATTTGAATTGTTCAATTTAGTTCAAGGGAATTAAAGTTAATTATTCAATATTAATGGATACGTTCACCACTAATTATATATTAATATATAAGTAAATAAATTAGAGATATCAGGTGCAGCACGTGTCAAAAGACTAGTTTATTGATAAAAATAAGGACAATATTACAAATTATAATATAATTATAAGCTGTTTCATACTTTAAATTATTTAATTAAATAAATTTTATATTCACGTATTTATTAATAAATATTGTCCATTTTATTTTTAAAATTGTAAAAACCTACCGACACAGTTTCATCAAATTCGTAAATTCAAATCAAAATTTTGAATCGACTACCAAACACATATCTGTTTGTGTTAAAACAGACATTAAATATAACTCTTGTTTTGATTGAATCACTTGTTTTTGGATTCCTTGCACCCTAATAATTTAACCCAAACCCTCTAATGCTCTCTAATCGTAGCTTTTCATCTGAATTCTTTCTTCTACTTCCACGTACATTTATTGAATGGCTGCATGTGTAATTTCGACCAACTGAAAGAAGAAAACGAAAGCTTGATTAAGTGTAAGTGACATGGATGACAAGTGTGATGAATTAGAAAAATTATATTGACATCTGTTTTTCTTCACTACGCTACAAGCTCATTTGTGAGGCTGCTGCTCACGATTGATTACTTTCATATATACCTTTGGTTTGAGCTTCCCAAAGCAGAAGCTGAAAGTGTAGGGCTTAATTAAATAATGGGAAAGGCAGAAAGTGGAGTGTTGATGTTGGGCTTAGTTGTTGTAGTGATAATTTGTGAGGCTGCTGCTTACGATTACTTTCAGATGGTGGAACAGTGGCAGCCCGCAACCTGCAGCGACAAGAAGCTGAGATTTGGATGCAGGCAGAAGCCGAAGCAAGTGTTTACTATCCATGGCTCCTGGCCAAGTAACTATTCTAGGGCAAGGTCCAAGCCCTGCAGGGGCTCTAGGTTTGATATCACCAAGGTACTTTTTCTTTTTTTTCTTTATTGTTATTCAATTTTAAATTTAGGGCCTGTTTGGAGACGTTCTCCTTTCCTGTTTCTTATTTGTTATTTCTGTTTGGTAGCCATTTATATTTTTTGTTTGTCGAAAAAAAAAGAAATAGAAACAAAAATATGTTTGATAATTATTTTCTTTTTCTTGTTTATCTTTTTTGTATTTTTTAAGTATAACAGTTGATGAGGGTAGAGATTTGAACTTAGGACCTCCTAATAAAAAATATATGTCTTAACTTAGATTGACTTATTTTTATTTTAGTTTTTGTAGTACAACATGAGGGGAGGGAATTGCACCAACAAAGCTAAGAGTGAATATTGGATATCAATAAGGTATTTAACCCAAACACAGAAACATAAACAAATTTAGTTTCCAAAATTTAGTAATTTTTGGAAAATATTTTTAAAAATCTAGAAACGAGAGATAGGATGAGATACCAAACATGTCCGCATTTAAAAACATAAGAAACAGGAACAAGAAACACAAAATGGAAGCTCTTAGTTTTTGTATTTTAAAAAGTTTGAAATATGCTTTAAACTTTAAAAGATGTGTCTATCTGGTATTTATTTTTTAACAAGTATCTTAATAGGTTCTTCAACTTTTAATGTTGTATCTAAACTGATCAAGATAAAAATAATACTTAAATAACATTAGATACATTTTTTAAAGTTTAGCATCTATTATAATTTTTTTTAAAATATAGCATAGTTTAGAGAAGTAGCTATTAAAAATTTTTTGGAGTACAATTAATAAATAAAATAGCATCATATAAGTGGAGGGGTCAAACTTGTTATCTCACCTCTAGCTTTTATGAGCGATTTGGCTCGTTTTGGTAACGTTGTTTATTGTTTATTATTTTTTCTTTTTTAATACAAAAAACATATACAATTATTTTTTTTTGCAAATGCATATACAATTATTGCATTTGGTAATTATTTATTATTCTTTATAAGTTGTAAAACAATATATTTTTTTATCAATTGAAAAAAATTGGAAACGGAACCAGAAACAATAAAACTTTCTTTTTGTTCTCCAAGATTTTTATACAATTTTAGAAACGTTTATAAAAAAAATTAAAAAAATAAGACAAATAAATAATTGTCACACATACATACGTTTCTCAATAAAATTGAAAAAAAAAAAGAAACAAGAAATAGAAACCGTTACCAAACAGATCTTTAGCGATTTAATTAATTAATTGAAGAACGAAAATGTTGTCAAACAGATTCTTTGAATTTTCATAGTTTTATACGATTATTTATCGTTCCATGGTAGAAAGTTCCAATTATGTGTATGGACTTTTGATTTTTATATATAAAGTAATGTCACCCAATTAAATACCACACACAAAAAAGTATACCACTGGGAGAAAATAAAGGCCGAATGAGTAAATAAATTTTACTAAATTGTATGACTTTTCTTCATTCCTGTTTTATCGAGTTGACCCGCTGATTATTTTAGTATGTAAAAAGAGTTCTGAACTATATTTGATTATAGTACATAATAATAGTTAATGTATATATCAATTGTTTTATTATGGATCGTAATTAGTGCAATTAAGATTTATTTCATTTGATTTTCATGTTAACTGTTTTTTATTTTACAAATTTAATTTTATTACTTGATAAAAAAATGTCTAAAACTACAAACAGTTTGTTATTTTTTTTCTTTTGATTTTTTTAGTACAACTTATTATAGTGTACAAAGAGATTTGAACTTATTACCTTTTATATTAGGAATAGTAATTTATCCGGTTCACCTATTTATAGATTGATATAAATAATTTAACTGTTTGTGACCTTTGAGAGATTGCATTTTTATGTTAATTCAGTTAACACATATTGAGCAAAACTCATTCCAATCTTATTCAAATATAAATAATCTACTGTCAAAGCGAGTATAGCTTAGTTATAATTGACATACATCTCTAATCAAGGGTTGTGAATTCGAACTCCACCAGCACATGTTGTACTAAAAAAAATATATATATATAAATAATCTACATTGATTATGAATTTATGTTACATTAAAACATATTTTAATATTTTTTTTTACCAATTTTGTCCCCAAGGGATAGCTTGGGTAGCTTGGGGTCTCAAGGAATAACCTTGAAGTTTTGGCTTCAAGCCACATGAGACGCAACTTCCACCAAACAATGACTCATTGCGTATTTACGGGTATAGAGACAATGTGCATACCCCAAATATAGGGGCATAAAGGTGACTCCTTGGTAATAAA